TATATATATATATATATATATACGCTTATTATTTATTTTGTTTTGCTTTTATATAGATTGTTACAATGGATGTTGGCATTGTCAAAATTGCAGAAGATAAAGATTTTGAGAAACTGAAGCAGCTGTATGATGATAATAACAATTGGAAATTAGATTATAACAAGCCTGATTTATCTGTTTGGACAAAATCCGTCCCAGGAATTAGTTTTAAAATGGTGAAAGTAAGTTCTTCTTTTGGCAAATAAATTTTACTTTTTGAATGAGATTGACTAACTTAACATTACAGATTAGAACACGTTTCCCCGATGTTTCACCAGAAACACTATATGATGTTCTACATGATCCTGAGTATAGAAAAGTTTGGGATACTCATATGATTGAATCAAAAGATATAGGATTTTTTAATCCAAACAATGATATTGGATATTATTCCAGCAAGTATTATGTTATTTATGAATCTTAGAGTTTTAATGTTTACATCTTGTTTTATTGTTATTGTACAAATTTTAGTGGCATGTCCATCTCCGTTAAAAAATAGAGACTTTGTCCTTCAACGATCTTGGTTGGATACTGGTATAGAACAGTTAATATTGAATCATTCTGTTTATCATAAAGATTATCCACCTAGAAAACACTTTATACGAGCAACATCTTACCTCACAGGTAATATAAATTAGTACAAAGCAAATAAAATTGCGTTTTATATGTATTATACCCCCTCCCCCCCACACATCCACACACACACACATCCACACACACACACACACACAATTTATGTTTTCTTACACTCTTTAATATGTTCAAAAATACTATTATATTTAAGGCTATATTGTAAGGCCTTCGCGCAATGGAGATGGTTCCGAATTGGGTTATGTATCACACACAGACCCACACGGGAAATTACCTGTATGGCTTGTTAATAAAGTCACACAAATATTTGCTCCTAAAGTAAGATATTACAATGAAATATCAAATATCAAACAAATAAATGTAATATTAGTTTATGAAAATATATCTTGTAGATGGTAAAAAGATTGCATAAAGCTTCTGTGGGCTATCCAAACTGGAAAATACTTAATAATCCAAATTATAAGCCTTGGCATTATCCTGAACAAATAATGGCACCTAGAATACGTATCGAAGAAGTAAGGACTATCTTATTTTTGTATGAGTTTTCGTATTGTGTATATCGGCTTATTACATGCCTTACTGTATTTTCACGATTATATTTAGATACATATACGAAGGTTAAAAAATAAGTTTCCCTATTTTAGAAAAAACAAAGACAAAGATTAAAAAAGTAAGTTAAAAAATTTTTTTTAAGATTTTTGAACTTTGCTTTTTTCCTAAAATAGGAAAACTTACTTTTGGACTAATTCTAGTAGATCTTGTACATTCTTTCATTTCTTTAAATAAAATTTTGATTTCATTTCTTTCAGTATTATATAGTTGACATGTATCTCTATGTATACGTATGTAGAAAAAATAGATTTTGTTCTTCTTTCGTATTTAGTTGTCAAATATAATTTTTTAAAAAAGTTCAATTCCATGATCTGTAAGCAAGGTTGATTTTTACAATCGTATGCTATTAATTCGTTTCAGTGCGTAAAATCTGCAGAAGAGAAGAATTCAAAATATAATTATGTAGATGAATCTAATTTAAAGGAAAGTTTGGTTAAAGAATCTGCCGCAATGGATAGCGATTAATTCATAACGATACAATAGAGACTTGACAATTTTTAGGTAAGTAGGGTAATAGTGACTAGAATAATAAAAAACTGTAATGAAAAGTTCTAACAGTATTATAGTATTAAATGCAGATAAAACATAACGGACAATTTGTACAACTATTAAAGTTCGATTTGCATATTTCTTACATGATAAATGATTCTAATTATACACAACGCAACATATTTAATGTATGTATATGTAGAGCATTAAAAGTCACATATTCAGTTGTCATACGCTCAGGCCTGTACGGACGTGGCTGCAGTATATGTAAAAATCAACAAAAAAATATTCGATGGCCTGTTTTGCATTAGGTGCTAATTTCTAGCAAAGTTTGTTAAAACGCGCCAAATATATAATAAGATACCATACATATATGGAAGGTATACTTGAAACTTTTTTTATAATTTATATCAGGGCGTATGCGTATATATGCATGCGTGCGTGTGTATACACACACGCACACACATACAAGGTGAATCAAAGTTGAACCAATTTTTTACTTTCTGAGCAAATTATCGACTTCATACCTAATTATAACGTATGCAGTCAATTATTTTCTCATAGGGTAAAAGGCTGGTTCAACGACTCTAATTCGCTCTGTATATATACACACACACACACACACACACGCGCGC